CCATCTTGCTGAAATAAACAACGGAGAGATAAGGAAACCTATTATGCGGACACCTGTCATGTCATGATGCATGAATATGCAATATGCAAATGATTTCAAGGATTTAAAGAATTTAAATTTGTATAAACAAAGAGTCAACAAACGTTAACTTTTATTAATGAGTTCTGATTTGAATATAAGCATGCCTCTTGGGCTTACAACAACAGAAATAAGCATAAAGTAAACTCCTACGACAAAAAATTTGTGCGCGTCTTCTTTGGCGCAATGTAGGTGTTTAAGCTCCTTTCTTCATGAAGATCCCTTGTAAGATATAAGAACTTCTTCTCGCTCTCATAGAACTTAGCTTCAAAGGTGTCTCGTTCTCCTTTTAACTGAATCCAAGCGTGTTGCAAATCTTCAAGAGAAGTAGGCATATCGGGATAGAGGATAGTATGGGGAATGTCTCCCTCAACTACTGGATCCATGATAACAGGTAAGGCGACTTCATAAGGCATCTTAAGACTTTGAGCGCGAGCCCTCACCCATTTAAGATAAGGCTCCAAATGAATGAAATTATTATGCCCCAATGTCTTGCTATCAACTTTGTAAACCATACCCCAAGCTCGTATAAATCTTTGACAGTAACCTTGGGTATCGCTTTCATAGTCAAATGTAATTCCTTGGATGAGTACCTCATGAGGGCCATCTCTCCTAGCGTATCCAAATTATCGCAAAGCTAAACAAGGGTTGTAAGTAATGCCTCCCCTAATGCCAAGTAGAGGGACATTAGGGAATTCCCCATAGCGGTCAATGATGGTAATGTCTTCTAAGGAGCGATAATACCAACAGATATCAGCATGTGAAAGTGACATCAATCTTTTAGACCATCTCATACCTTGTTCATTCTTCACCACGGATCGAGGTAGGTGCGAAATAAACCACCTGGACAAAAGAGGAGTGCAACACATCAGAGCCCCTTTTTTCTTCAAAGTGTGAGAGTGAAGAGAATGCAATATGTCTCCCAGCAATGTAGGCACCGGATTACGAGATATGAAAACCTTGATCGTATTTACATCTATAAATTGGTCAGGATTTGGAAATAGTACCAACCCAAAGATGAGAAGAGCCAAAATTTCCTCAAAGGCTTGTAGTTCCAAAGTATTCCAACACTCTTGAGCCTTCTCCAACAAAAACTTTGCTAGGAACCCCTTGACACCACTCCTTGTTACCCAATTTGCTACTATGTCAGATGGTTGCAAATATAGAGCTCGAGCAATTTCCTCAGGTTTAGGGTTTCTTTCGATACCGTTGAAAGGTAACTGATTAAGAACAGGGATCCCCATGAGTTGAGAAAATTCTTCTAAAGTGGGCACAAGTTGGTAATCGGGAAAAGTGAAGCAATGATGCAAAGGGTCAAAGAATTGGACAAGCACCTTTACCATATCTTCTTCAATACTTGAGGTAACAAGACTAAGGAGTCGACCATGTCTTTTGGTGAACGGAGAATCTTCGGGGACCCGTGATACTAACTCCTTGAGTTGTAGAGGTATCCTCACGAGGCTGACTTGGATAGTGCTCCTACGAGTGGAAGCCATGTCCTACAAAACAGTACAAAGATAAATCCAAAAATCCTTGAAAAGGTTAGTGAGAATGCTTATGATGTTTATGATGCTTATAATGTTATGTACAGGTGTGTATATACGAAGAAAACAAGTCCTTGGGTTTAGGCTTGCATGGGGTTTCAGGTAAGTACCCTCTTGAAGTTCAGTTGGCTTCAACCTGTCCTAGTTAATAGTAACCGGGTTCTAAGGGATATCAATATCATTGATCTTTCCCCCAAGCTTCGTTCAATAAGTGATTGACTCACAACCAAACAAAACTCAAGAGTCAAACCTCAATGAGTGTAGCATCGAGTATCAACCAACTTCGAACTGCACTAAAGCCGGTCATCTCACTACGTCCTAATGGCCAAGTTGGTCAAGTAAGGTTCTAAGCTCAGTTGATGCTTTACGACACCATGCGGAAGCCCTTACTCTCCTTGACTGACTCAAGGGTTACCGGTACCAACCAAAGTGCCACATTAATGTAGTTACTGCTTCAACCGTGTCAGTATACCCCGCACAGTTCCCTCGCAGTTTATTGCTACTTACCTAAAAGGTGCCCCTAAATCCGGGTGTAGGATTTTTAACAGTAACCCAAATAAGGACCCAAAATGTAAAGCATGCAAATCAAACAATGTAAGCAAGTAAATGTGATCTAACCCTAAGGTAACCCCACTTTTAAGTAACTCAACTCCTTAGTAGAGTCGCCAGTTCTGTGATACAGTGGGAGAGCTGACTTGAGGTTTTACGTTTGTGTTTGCAAATGTTGCGGTTTTAGCAAGAGTCGCCACCGACTTTTTTTTTATCCAATAAAGAAAGGTGAAAAAGAACAGGAAAGACCTTTAGAGATGTTTTCTTGAGTTTGGGGGGTAGATTATAAAAAGGGAAGGTATTAGCACCCTTTCCATCCATGGTTTTCCATGGGCTCTTAGTTACTCGCTAGATCACTTGCTTTTGTTTGAAAAGTGTGATTTATGTGAGGTTTTGAAAGTATTTTAAAAAGGTGCCATCGTTTAGGCAAACTTTGCAAAGATTCGCGTTCGTAAGAATGTATGCAAAGTGTTGAGCTTTTGAAAATATTTCAAGTTTTGGAAAGATGTTTTGAAAGTGTATGTGATTGTTTTCGAAAATAGCAAGGATATTTGTTTTGAAATTGATCAAGTAACTAAAAGTAATCCACCTACTCAAAAGGTCTTGGATGTGTTTTTCCTCCTCCTTTAGATGTTGCTATCTTACCATTGATTTGGTAAGAAGCCCCATCGTTGGATGTGAAGGGACAGGCATGGGTCATCGTATGACCATGATAGCAATGTTGTGAGATGACTTAGCACTTTTCTTTAGGGACTAAGATCATTTTGAAAGGCAATTTTGATAGCGTTATCGAGGGACTATGATCTTTTTTTGATTTTTTTGTGCTAAGACCTCCCACATGCATAACATGGCCATTTTTATAAGGCAACAAGTGGAATTACCTAAAGGTGTAAGTGTGCGAGTATATTTGATTGCAAGCATAATTTATCTTGATTAGGGTGATCTATTTGTCAATTTTCATATCTTGTCATACACGCCCTAATTACTAGCATATATTGAAAGCAAGAACAATGCGAAAATGTAAAGTCCTACGCTATTACAATATTTTAGGGGGGTGGGGGTACATATTTATGAATGGGGGTTGCAAGTTAAAATTCTAGGTTACTATTACAACCATATTGAAATAGATAAGAATGTACAGGAAATGTAAAATGCTTATTTATTTAAGAAAAGAAGTTTTGTTTAAGAAAATATTTTTTTATGTTAAAGGAAAATATAATATGCAAAATATAAAATATTTTTTGGTGTTTTTGATTAATAATAAAATAATATGAGGGAAAAATAATAAAAAAGAAAGAAAACATGATCAGCGCAAAGTTTTGAAAATATAAGAGGTCAGAAGTTCTGACTCTGACTTGTTGCACAAAGAAAAACATGTTACCAAAAATATGGAAGTTCAGAAGTTCTGGATCTTCTGAGAACTCAGAAGTTTTCAGAAGTTCTAATGCAACTGTCAGAACTTTGCCTCTCTCCATGCCAGTCAGAACATCTGCAGCTTAGTCATTTACAGAACAAAAGTTGCATGTATAACAGTTATGCCAAATTTCATGAAATATCAGAAGCACAAATCAGAAGAAGCATGTATTTGCTAATTCTAATTCTGAGTCCTAATTTCTTTATGAAACTCTGAACTGGGATTTCTTTTACTTAGGCAAGCAAACACATGAATTTTCAGAATATGTACATCATCAGGATCAGAATATCTACATTGTGCTAAATATGCAAAATCTGACAATGCTTAATCAGTTATGATGACGTTCAGTAGAAAACTTACCTTGCAGCTAAAAAGGATTCTGTGAACTGGAGGTTGGTCTTGAATTCTGGTGATGTTCTGAGCAACTTCTTCACGTGCTCAGTAGGATAGAAGTTGACAACTTATGGAACAGCTAAGGGGTGAAGTTCTGATTCCTTGGAGGTGGAAGTGAATGGAGTTTGAATGGAAATGATAATACAGAAGTTAAGGTAACTTCTGATGTGAATCAGCAACTACGTGGGTGGCTTTAATCAAGAATAATTGAGGAATAAATGGAGTTTGAATGTAAGGAATCAATGCTAAGATTTTTGGTATTCTTGTGTTTATAGTTTCCTGGGTTCTTGAAATTTTGCAGTGATTCAAAGCCTTCTTTCTCAATTCTCTCGCCTCTTTCATAAATTTTCCTGGACTCTTTCAGTTTACAAACACTACAAGAAAAATGATAGATTGGGACGGTTATTTTGGCTGATTACGACGGTTAAAACCGTCGCAATTTACAATCTACGACGGTAGAAGTACCGTCGCAGAATCGTGCGTCCCCAGCCTATTTCGCGACGGTTGCAAAAACTGTCACGCACAACAGATAGCGACGGTTATATACCGTCGTGAATTTGACTTTATTTTTTGTTTTTGTTGTTGTTTGCGACGGTTATTCTACCGCCGTAGGTTAGAAATTGCGGCGGTTTTAACCGTCGTAATCTGATTTATAAATTTCAAATAATATTTTTATTTAAATTATTATTTAGTAAAATAATTTTAAATATAATATTATTTTACTATAATATTTTACTATTATATTTAAATTATTATTTACTTTAATATTTTTTTTTATAGTATTTTTATTTTATTTTCTATCACTTTTCAACATAATAAAGTTAATTACAATAAAAACATTTAATATCAAATAATCATCAATAATATCAAAAAAATGTGATCAAAGGTAAAAAGAAGTGCAAATTTTACCAATAAACAAGAAAAATTCAAATATCATCAAAGGCCAAATTTCATTTTAATATTTACATTGGTTTGCTACAACTTGAGAGAATTACAAAAAATGTTACAATATTCTACAAAATTCATGAAAGTCCTTTACCACATTTTGTATGTTTCTTCACACGCGCACCGCACAATACTACTCTTCTAGCTAACTCATCCATGATCACATTCTCTGCATCATTTCCTTTCAAATTTTTTTCTCTTGCAAGTAAAAGTGTTGTTTCATGTCTTTCATTCTTAATATCACATTTTGCTCCATGAGATATCAAAAGGCCACACATTTCTCCATTACTTTCTCTGGCAGCTAACATCAATGGTGTATATCCATTTTCATCAAAACCATTCACATCGTAATTCCCTTCCTTTAGTAGTTTTTCAACCATGTTTATATCTCCATAACAAGCTGCACGGTGAAGAGTATTCGCTTCGGCTAAAGTACTAATATTCAAACATCCCTTTTTAAGTGCATATTCAAACATCACCTTATGACCATCTTCACCATTTTGTTTCAAATTTATGATATCTAGAGCTGTTAAACCATCTTTGTTTTTAAGATTGGTTACATCAGATCCAGCGTGAAGAAGCAACTTGAATGCCTCCACGCTACCCTCTGAAGCAGATATCATGACAGCTGAAAATCCACTCTCATTTTGCTCATCTAGATTTATGTTTCTGTTTTCAACGACTTTTTTCAAAGCCTCTATGTCATTCGCGTGAGTGACGAATAACAAAGATGAAAATCTAGACGCATTGCTAGACTTAACAACCTTTCTGGCTCTAATTATATCCAAAACTGCTTTCTGATATTCTTTAGTCCAATGAATAGAAGTTGCTGTTGAAGTTGCGCAATGACCAAACGAATTTACTATCCCCAAATCAGCTCCTGATGATACTAAAACTCTTAGACACTTCTCATGTTTATACCTTGTGCAAACCATCAACGCCGTGTCACCAAGTTTTGTTTGCGAGTCCAAGTTACAGTTACCATTAATCAAACATTGAAGAATGTTGCATAGTCCGAGGCGTGCAGCCATGTGAATAGGGTATAGATTGGTTTCTTCTTCAGTAGTTTGAAGGGCCAATTCTGTATCAACCCCATTATTCAGAAGTACATTCAATGCTCTTTCATTGTTGCAAATGATGGTGTGGTGCAAGAGAGTTCTTCCCATGTGAAAACTATTAGGTGAGAGGTGATGGAGAAGCATGTTGAGTATCAGATTGCCAGGAATTACCCTATTTTCACTATCACCGGTAAAAGAAGCACCATCACAGTAACGAATTTTCACTCTATTCCAGTTAAAGAAATCTGCAATCATAAGGAGCAATATGAGCCAAACAGCTAAACAAATCCCTTTTAAGCATAATATAGTTCAGTTGCATGAAAAAAAAAACCTGGATTCTCTCGAGGATTATTGCTCATTATTCCCGTAAAAGGTATCGCCTTCTCCATGAAATTTGATGATCCACGCCGTGTAGTCTTGCGATAAACGCATGTTCTAACGTTATTACACCACGCACCTCCCTGCCACAGAATTTCACATAAATATTATCAAACAACACTTTTAAACTCTTGTATACAAGATCTCATCTCGGTATACAATATAAACATATTAAGGAAACATATAAGAAAGACTGTATCATAGAACAATATGAAACACCATGAGATACCTCTAAGTTAACAATCCAGCTGTTTGCTCCCGATCCGTATCCGCGGTCGAAATGATAAGCAGGCAATGTTCCATCCAAGCAGACTGCCAAAAACAAATATTCATCATACTCAGCCAAATCAAAAGCTATACAATTTTTCAGACACTGAGAAAATCTCAAACTCTATACAAATTTTTAAGGTAATCAACCCTTGAAGGCCAGTTTGTCACATGCACTATATAACATACAAACTTGAAAAGATATAAAATTTGGGGTAAATTATTGGAGTGAATAATAATTTTCATAAACAAAACTTCAAAAAAAGAAAAAAGGGTTAGAAGTGGATTGTACCAGCTCCTTTAGCAGCAGCAGATTGAATAAAGGTGATTCCCACCATGCGAGGCTGATTCACAAGGTTGGAAGAAAAAGAATAACCTTCATGAGCTTCTAAGATAGAGAGTTCAGTTTCATTGATGTGATATGCATCAACCAATTTGATGAAAACAAGTGCTATTACAATGCTAACCCAGAAAAGCTTCACCATTGTTCTTCTTTTCTGTGTTTTGTGAAAGAAACAAGACAACAAACAAAACACAAAGGTGCAAACTTTTTGGCTCATATTGCTCCTTATGATTGCAGATTTCTTTAACTGGAATAGAGTGAAAATTCGTTACTGTGATGGTGCTTCTTTTACCGGTGATAGTGAAAATAGGGTAAATCTTCAAAATTGAAATGTTTGCCAACTCTCACCTAATTATATCCAAAACTGCTTTCTGATATTCTTTAGTCCAATGAATAGAAGTTGCTGTTGAAGTTGCGCAATGACCAAACGAATTTACTATCCCCAAATCAGCTCCTGATGATACTAAAACTCTTAGACACTTCTCATGTTTATACCTTGTGCAAACCATCAATGCCGTGTCACCAAGTTTTGTTTGCGAGTCCAAGTTACAGTTACCATTAATCAAACATTGAAGAATGTTGCATAGTCCGAGGCGTGCAGCCATGTGAATAGGGTATAGATTGGTTTCTTCTTCAGTAGTTTGAAGGGCCAATTCTGTATCAACCCCATTATTCAGAAGTACATTCAATGCTCTTTCATTGTTGCAAATGATGGTGTGGTGCAAGAGAGTTCTTCCCATGTGAAAACTATTAGGTGAGAGGTGATGGAGAAGCATGTTGAGTATCAGATTGCCGGCACCTAATAGTGAAAATAAGATTGCCAGGAATTGGACGATACTTTGAAACGTCCTTACTCTTATCAGATGCAGCCGGCACCTTCTCATTGGCATTACTTGTTGCACTTTCACTCGCTTTAATAACTTTCTGGATCTGGTATTGCTGTTTCTTATCAATTGGACGAATCTGCAGCAAAAAACTGTATGTCAGAACATACATGCCTTTTCCACCTAACAGATAAATAAACCCTCTGTTACAAAAAGACACATTGTATTAAAACCAGAACATACATGCCTTTTCCACTTTAAGTTCACTTGATTTCTAATATTCAGAATGTAGCAGTTATGAACTAAAACAGATTATCCTGACTTCAGCATCGTGTAATAGCTATTTATTATGAATTGTAACAAACTCAATAAGTACTCGAGAATAGACATGTTAATCTAGACAATGAAATATAAAATAGGAGATACTTAACGAGAATAATCTCGAACTTCTTGCCGGTATTTCTGACCACAAAGATGTGTTCATACTTTGTCTCATGCTTCAACTTAAGCAATGCCTGAAGAAGAATAAATGTTTAATAAAGAAGAGACCAATGAAATGACATTCATTTAAAAGGTCTAATGCAACTACTACAAACCTGGCGAGGCTTAAAGGTATGGCCATGAGGCGTTATCAACTGAAAAGAAAAACGCAACTTTTGAAGATGGTTAGCTGAGAGTGAAACAACATCAGTTCCAGCCAAATCTAGCCTACACAGAAACACAAAATAAAGATTTAAATTGAAGTGAAGAAATAAACATAATTAATAGAATTGCTAACAAAAACGCAAAACCAAGATTTAAATGTATATATGTGTTCAGCTCGAACTTCAAACACTGCATAAAAATGACAAACATATGACAATGAGACATACTAATTGATGATTAAGTACACTGATCCTGAATATAATTGCAGAGATGTTTTCAAACCAGTAATTGAAACCTTACGTTTTCTGGGTTTCATCACTTCCAAGATCACTGCCAAGAACTGCAATTTCTGCGTTGCTAACTTTAACAATGCCAGTGACATATATCGGCACGTGAATTTGGCCTCCAATAGCATAATCATTTTCACTACCTGAATCATGAAGCGCTGTCTACAAAATAGGCTTAAAACGTTATAACTAACAAGCAGATACAAATAAATACACCTTGGTGTAATGAAAGGAAAAATAATCACTAAATAAACATAATACCTCAAAAACAAACACATATGTTCCCACATCCACATTATCTGGGAAGCCCATGACATGAAGTCCACTACTTTGATCGTACTGGAGTTCCTGTAGAACACAATAAGGGAGGTATATTCAAACAATTGAAAGTAGAACAGACCAGAGATAATAAAGAATCCCATAAACTAAATTACTCTACGACATCCACTTCTAAAAATAATCATTGACTCATCACTCACCTTGCCCTCGATAACAGCAGAATGTTTAGCATCAGCGTGGAAAGCTCTGACAAGCTTAACTGTAAGAGGTGGTGCGGCTGAACCAAGTACTGTATTCACTGTAACCTGTTTAATTTTGAAATAGAAATCTGTCATTTTCCGAAGTGAAAAGCTGTACATTCATTAAAAAAAACTTAAGATTTATTAATGCAGCCAACTGATTCATGTGATGCTAATATAGTATTGCATGTATAAGAATCAACAAGTGAGAAATGGGGGAAGAGTTTATTAAGCTCCACAACTGAATAAAAAACAATGGCGCATAGGAGAGTGTGAGATGAAGAATTTAAAAGGAGACTGAAAATGACAGAACCAAAAATAACTGGTAGCATCATGTGAAAGAAAGCCTAACTGGAACTCACAACTGTATCAGTAATCTTTAATATATTTGAGTCAACCAACATATTTTTGACAGAAAAAGTGATAAAAACATAATCTTATGAGGTGGTTGAGGAGCCAAAACAGAAAACCAGTGTGAACCATCAACTAATCGTTTCACTCCCAAAATAAAGACTTTAGAAACTTTAACTTCATTACTTACCTTGAGCTGATCTTTTTTGGACAATGAATAAACTGTTGCAGGAAGTGACAGCACTAATGGGACGGGAACCCTACACCAGAACAAGAAATCCGAGGCATTTTTGTTACTGAATATTATTAAGATATCAAGATATGTGCAAAGAAGAAACAAGAGGGAAAAAAGGACACCACTATAAAGCTGTACTAAAATTATAAATTCTTTTCCTGAAAAGCACTTGCCTTTTGCTCTCCAGAAGAGCTAATGATTCAATTTGATTGAAGAAGTCCTTGGCACTTCCTGGAAGAGGAACCATCGACCTTGAAGAGGAACCATCGAAGAGTTGTAAAGCAGCGGAATGGTGAGAATCGGAAATCGGACTTGGATTCGTGACGGCGTTGCAGATCGAAATAGTGAAAAACAGTATGAGAAATTTGGCTAGGTTTATGGCCATTTCTGCAGCTATGAATCTATGAATGCAAATCGCATTTACGATAGGTTAGGGATTTGAGAAATGAGATCGAGAATTACGAGATACGCGAAGAAACGACTTGTGCGAGTGAGTCTGTGTGTTTTTGGTGCAACTGAACTAGTATCATCACTGGCTCTTGATCATCTAGCCATCTTTTCAAACAACGAATCGCCGCCAGTCGCTGCCGTCACGGTGCTTCCGGATTCTCTGAACGCAGGAGTAGAAAGTGAATGGATGTTTTATGAGATTTTTAACTTTTTTACGGCGACGGGTGTTTTACCGTCGTGCCCATGAAAATTTTTAAAGGTTTTGGATGCGACGGTTGTTTTACCGTCGTGAAATGAATTTTAGGACGGATAATTTTACCGTCGTGAAAGGTTTAAGGGTGCGACGGGTGCTTTACCGTCGTGATATGCCTTTTAGGACGGTTAATTTTACCGTCGTGACTAGTTGTTGGTGAAAAATCAATGTTAAAAGTGTTAAATGGGGGCCGACGGTTGTTTTACCGTCGTAATAATAATATTATGATGGTTAAATATACCGTCGCAAAATAAATATTAGGGACGGTTGGTGTCAACTGTCGTAAACACTGTCTCTATATGTCAATTACGACAGTTATCACATAACTGTCGCAATTTTTGTGTCGTTAAACACTAATTTTCTTGTAGTGAAATGGTGTTCTATTTATAGGAAAAGTTTTGTAGTTGGGGCGGTCAAGTGGTGTCAACATCATATGCTAGATGCTGACTTACTCTTGAAGTAAGCTTAAACAAGTGGGGTTCAACGTATTCAAGTTGGATGGTTAACAGCGCCTCAGTTGGATATGGCAGCATGAATTAATGAAAAGTAGAGACAGCGCGTGGGTGTAGCATACTTTTTCACAGAAATTTGTCTTCCCAAGGCAGTAGGGGTACACGTGGTGTGAATTCCTTGGATAAAGACTCGGAGGCGGTTGTGAGCATTAAATGGGTTCCCATGTGAAACTCTGCATCTTTGCTTGACTCTAGATTAGAAGTTCTGCTTCAGCGTAGCATCTCATCTTCTGATCCTCTTATCTTCTGACTTCAGCATATTCTGAGGGATCCTTCAGAACTTCCAGTATACTTACAACACACTTTGTTACCTTCTTTGTTTTAACCTTTGCAAACTCTGACTGAACCTTCGTGGATACTGGCCCAAAAGTTCTGACCAAACTCTTTCTTGAGAATATCCAGAATTTGCTGAGTGTGAACACTGGCCCAGAAGTTCTGAAATTTCCATATTTCCTAAATACTTGGAAAAATTTCTAAGTTTTTAGAATTTGTTTTTTCCAAAGTAAAATTTGACTTTTGAAACTCTTGATGAAACAAACTTCATATTCCAACATGTCTTGATGAAATATGATTTTTGAGATTTGATTTTGATCCAAAAGTCAAAGTTAGACTTGTAGTGTGCAAATGACCACTTTGCCCTTGTGAATGGTCTGCTTGAAAAAATTGATAACTCAAGGCTTGGAATTGGATGAGAGGAAATTTGAGGATCCAGGGTGATTCCTTGAGAAATGAGAGGGAAAATTTTGGGGTGCAACAGTCAAGTAAAGGTTCTAAAAGTCAGTTACTGCTTCATGACATCACTCAGTGGCCCCGTATTCTCCTTGACTTACTCAAGGGCTACCGGTACCCACAAATATGTCACACTAACATAGCTATTGCTTAGACCATGTCGGTATACCCCGCACAGTTTCCACAATGTATTGCTACTTACCTATAAGGTATCCCAAATCCGGGTAGAGGATTTAAACAAGCCCAAACAAGGAACCAAAATGTAAGGAAAAAAATCAAACAATGAAAGCAAGTAAAGGTGATCTAGCCCTAAGGTAACCCCACTTTTAAGTTTTTCC